GCAAGCCACTGGGTGCAGGATTTGATCCACAGGCAGCCATCTGGGAGTACAGTGCCTTAACTGCCATGCCACCTGCTGGTCTCCCATAACATCACATTCTACCGCTGCACCACCATTCAGCTCCCCTTTATTTCTGTTTCAATAGCCATCCTAGTGGCATGAAGTGATAGCTCATTGTAGTTTAGACTTGCATATGACTAATGACTAGTGACAGTGAGCATCTTTTTATATGCTTCTTGGTTGTCCATGTGTCTTAGTTTTTTTAAAAAAGAGGTTTTTGCCTTAGGGCATGTGTGCTGGCTGGAGAGAGAGAGGCAGAGACTGTGGAGGGGAAAGTGAAAAATCCCCCCTTGGGAGAATGGCCACTCCACAATCTCTTCTCCATTCTCTTCCTGGGGTTATTGGTATGCATACACATACATCTGGTGTAATTTTGAAACTATCAGGTCCAGGATTCCAACCACGGTCAGCCATATGGGAATCTAGTGGCATAATCACTATACCAGAGATTTTTGCTATAGGGTGCCAGAGAGACAGAGTGACAGAAAGAGAGAAGCCACCCATCAGAGGGATGATGATACTGCAATCTCCTCTATTCTTCTCTTGGGATTTTGGGCATGTATGTACATGCACCCAGCATGGGTTTCAAACTGAGGGTCTGGGACTTGAACCAGTTTGTTATGTGGGAGTCTAGTGCCTTAACCGCTATGCCACCTGTTGGCCCCTGTATGTCTTTGTTTTTAACTTGCCAGGGGGCAAGTGTATTCACCAGAAAGAGACAGAGAGAAAAAGGGAGAGGGTCAAAGTACACCCCATGGAACACATTTGAATCCCTTCTCCATTTCCCTCTCCTACTAGGATTTTAGGCATGCACACACACATGCCCAGTGTGTTTTTTGAGCTGCTGGGTCTAGGACTGGAACCATGGGTTGAGCATGTGGATCCAGCTCCCTTAACTACCAGGCCATGGGCTGCCCCGATTTGTACATCTTTGGAGAAATGTCAATGCAAGACCTCTGCCCATTTTTAAATTGGTTTGTCTTTTTGCGGCTGAGCTGCTATATTCTGAACTCTTATCAGATATATGATTTGCAAATACACACACACACACACACACACACACACACATACACACACACAGAAAGAGGAGGAGAAAGCATTCCCCATAAGGAATGGTCACACTGCTGCCATCTCTCTCCTCTTCCACCTTTCCCTCCCTTTGAATTTTGGGTATACACACACATGTGCTGTGGGTTTCTCTAGCACTGAGTCCAGAAATCAAACCATGTGGTCAGCCATGTGGTATCTGGCTTCCTTATATATGAAGCCACAGAGCTGATGTGTGTATATATAAAGTTTATTTATTTATTTCTTCTATGAGTAAGACAGACAGAGAGAGACAGAGAGACAACACCCTTAACAGGGTCTTGATGCCACAATCCATCCCCAGCCTTCAGTCCTGGATCATTCCCAACCAGATGTCTGGTGTACTCAGGGATATCTCCACAGTTGAACTGGGTACCCTCCCATGTGAAACTGCCTCACAGAAAATTGTGTTTTACTGCTGTACCACTGTCTTCCCCCATGCAACTATTTTCTCCTTTTGTGTTCACTTTTTGATAATATCCCTTTTAAATAATTATTTATTCAGTTCCTTTGTTATTATAAATTTTTATTTGACCAGAGAGAGACAGAGAGAAAGAGTGGAAGGGAAAGTGAGAGAAGAAGCCACCAGGTCCAGAACTCAAACCACAGTTGGCCATGTGGGAGTCCAGTGCCTTAACCACCAACCACCTGCCAGGTCCTTATTTTAGTTGTTTTTAAAAAATAATTATTTCTTTAATTGTATTTATTATTGCTATTTAATTTGCTATAGGTGTGTATACTCACCAGAGAGAGAGAGAGAGAAAGTGAGAAAGAAAGCCACCAGGTCCTGGACTCAAACCATAGCTAGCCATGTGAGTCCAGTGTTGGCCATCCAACACGCCATCTGCTGGCCCCAGTAACGTCCTTTAATGCACAAATATTTTTAATTTTGGTAAAGCCCAACTTACCCATTTTTTCTTTTGTTTACACTTTTAGTCTAGTTAAGAATCAATCCACTGCCAATCTAAAGTTATGAAGATTTACCATATGTTTTCTCCCATGTCAGCTGATATGATTAAATTTTCCCCCTTCTATTAACGTAGTGTGTTACATTGATTAACTTTCTTATATTAAATTATACTTGCATTCCTAAGATAAATCTCATTTAGCCATGGTGCATAGTTCTTCTAATGTTTCTTCTATTGATTCAGTTTGCTAGCATTGCCTCTATATTCATAAGAGCTATTGACTGTAGTTTTTATTTTCTACTGTATGTTTGTGTGGACGGTGGTATCAGGGTATCGCTGGCCTCAAAATGAATTAGGAAGTACTTTCTCTTCTTCGATTTTTTTTGGAAGAGTATGAAAAGGATTAGGGTTAATCCTTCATTAAATGTTTGGTAAAATTTGCCAGTGAAGCCATCTGGTCATGGATTTTTCCTTGCCGGGGAGCTTTGTTACTGATTCGAACTTATGTTAGGACCTCTGACAGTCCACAGACAGATTAGAACAGACAAACCCAGTGCTTTGGGAGTAAGTTCTGCTCTGCTCCCTCTGGACCCAGGGTCCCATACTGAGAATATGGGCTGTCATCTTCAAGACACCAATCCAGAGGGAGGGGTGGGGCAGGAGCAAATAAAAATGCTTTGGATCTTTGACTATTTTCCAGAATTCTGACAAAGCTGATTCTAAGAGTTTCTGCTTGATTTTTTGATGTTTCTGTGGAGCAACAAGACCTTGGAGCTATATACAAAATGGTTTAAACAAAGATCTCTGATCCACATGGGAGTTTCTTCTGGTATATGGTATGAAGTATGGATATTATTTAAATTTTTGTCAAATCGCTATCCAGTTGGCTCAAATCTATGTATTAAAAAATTTATCTTTTAGCCCAACTGAGGTGGTTGCAAGCAAAGGGACACCACTCTTCAATGCTGTAGCCCCATAGGAGACTGAAATTCAGAACTCTAGTGGATGTGGAACATATTGAGTACCTGGCTGGAAGACTGGGGTGTTGGGGGGGATCAGGGTGTGACAAAACCCTGCTTGTTTCTGTCTCTCTCACTCTAATGAAAAACGAAGAAATTTTAAAAACAAGTCTCTTTTACCAAAGGTCACTTTTGCTCAGTACTTTGAAAGGTTAACTTCATCTGTTTCTAGATTTTCTATTTTGTTTAATCAGTCTTTCTGTCTAGTCACATACCAGTACTACACTGTAGAATTTTTATATTAATGGAATGCTTTCAATGTGATTGGGTTAATATTCTCTCATTGCTCTTCTTTTCAGGGTTTTCTTTACTCTTCTTGCTTAATTATTTTTAAATGGTAAGTCTGAATTGTTATATCTAATTTTAGAAAAACAATAGTATTTTAGCAAATGGTGTAGTAGTTATGTCGCTGGACTCTCACATAGTTGACTGCAGTTTGAGTCCCAGACCCAGCAGTTTAAAACTTATACCGGACAGGAGCAACAGTTGGCATAATGTCTATGTCACTGGACTCCCATGTAGTCGACTGCAGTTCGAGTCCCAGACCTGGTGGCTTAAATTCATGCCGCGTGCATGTGCATGCCCAAGATTCTGAGAGGAAAATGGAGGAGAAAGGATTACCATGTTGTCATCCCCCTTGGGGGATGATTTCTACTTTCTGTCTCTCTGTCTCTCTCTGTCTTTCTGGTGAGCACATGTGCCTTATAGCAAAAACCTCTCCAAAAATAAATAAATAAATAAATAAATAAATAAAGCAAAAAAAATTACACTGGACATGTGTATGCATGCTCAAAGTTCTGAGAGGACAATGGAGGAGAAGGGATTATGGCATAGCCATCCCCCGGGGGGATGATTTTTTTGTTTTCTGTCTCTCTGTCTCTCTTTGTCTCTCTGGCGAGCACATGTGCCCTATTGCAAAAATCTCATTTAAGAAAAAGAAAGAAAGAAAAAGAAAAACAGTAGTATTTTGATTAAAATCACATCAAATTTATAAATTACCTTGGGAA